ATTTAAAAATTTAAAATTGTTTTTGAGTAAATAACATTTTTTTTCATCATCTAACCAATCAGGTTCATTGTATCATTGAGTTCATTGTCCTGGAGTATATGTTGTACATGTCAAGCTGCAGACGCTCTTGTTTCTCTTGCGGCGATATTTTTTAATGCTAGTATTTCCAACCTTCATTCAACTATAACACTCTATACAAGATTTAGAAGTAAAAAAAATATCCTCATTACCCATACAGTACCGAGAGGGTGAGAACTTGTTGAAGTCTGTGGCAAATTTTGAAAAACTTTTAAAAATTCAAGTAAAAAATTGTCAATTTCAAATTTCAATGAAACACATTTCATATATTATTTTATATATATTTCCGGAAATTTTAATTCCTATAAAGAAGGAATATTTTATATGATACAATGGATACAACCCGCGTAGCGGAACTAATTTTCCTCGCACGCCCCCTTTTCCCGTCCACAAGTAGCCTATGCTGTTGTCATGGATGAATATACTCGACCAACAGTTACTGTATGCAAACTGAGGAGCCATTGCGGTATTACCCAGGGAAACTTTTTGTATTGTATTTTAATTTCCTGGCATCCCTGGCCACACTACAAAATGTTGGCTGGCTGTTCAAAGAGAGTACTAGTAATCATTGCCACCAGAAACAAGTTCTCCAGTCTGGTGGTGTATCATTTTCAGCCACTTAATTATAATTTATGATGTTTAGTCTGGATAGAATAAGAAAAAAATGCAAATTGAAACATCTTTTTTGGCAACGAGTGCATAATATATACACACATGACAATTTTGGCTGGCTTTTGTATGAATTCATCTACTGCAGATCTTGGCAGCAGTCACTGGTATTTTTTTTCACAAAAGTTTGGCAAACATGTACAGTTACAAACATTCCTCCCACTCTAAAAACGTTTTTGTCCAGAAAATCCCTTCTAAGCTGCCACACCATTTAAAAAAAATATTGCTGTAAGAATATCACAAAGGAGATTTACTGTAGAATTTTAAAAAAAAAGTTTAAAGAATAAACATCCAATTCTGCATTATAAATTCCAAGGCTAGAAACAATAAGAAAAGATAACCACAAAAATGAATAGTATAATGAAACCACAAACAGTGAACTACAAAGTTCACTCACAAGTTGAATTTAAGTGATTCTAATAGATTACACCAGAAAAAATTTATCAAATGTTTATTAGATATACTGTCTGCTAACAAAAAATGGGACAAACCTATGTTAAAATTCAATGAAAATGTTGAATAACTCACTTTACAAAAAACCTTAAATTGATTGCCCAGTCAATACAAGGGTCTATGCAAAAAATACCGGAAAGGTATTAATTAAATGATTGGTAGAATTTTTTCTCATTCAAATTATTAATTTTAAGTTTTAATAACTTATACAGTTGAACTTGCCTAAGTCGAATTCAAAATGCCATTGAAATATTGTTCGACTTAGATAAAATTTGACTTACAGATTGTTAATTAATGGAAAACACAACAATTTGGCATGTAAAATAAGATCAATTTAGAAATTATTCGACTAAGGCACAGTCTACTTAGGAAAGTTTAACTGTATACAAGTAGCAAATTATTTCTAATATGGAAAGTTAACTTTTTCGAATTTATGAAAGTTTTTTTAAATTTGTTATTCTTTTGTGATATTAAATCCTCTTCAGTGGAATGCATGCTATTGCACCCAAGCAACCATGACCTTGCCCTGAGGGAAGTCCACATTGGTATTTACTACAAAGTTCAAGTTCATTGTCAGATTAACTTCTCCTACAGTTGAGATGTAGCATAGCAACTGCGTCAAATATTTAATGTATATGGAGAATAGAACTTAAAAGTGTTTGTTGTGATTAGGGGAAGATATTGATGCCTATATCGGGATAAGGTAAATTGGGAGTGGGAAGAGCATATGATATCTGTATGGTACGAGTTTCTAGTGGGCAGAAACATGGCTTTGCCTAGATTCTATAAACTTGAAATTGCAAATTGCAAGTGAAGTGCTGCGAAGTACAACTGCATGTTCTTCGAAAAAATTATTTATGCGAGTCAAGTGAAAATAATGAATAATAAAAATATAACAAATAATATGAGACACGACCCATTCTCTATATTAGAACACTTCTCATTGGGTAACAAAGTCATAATTTTTCATTTTTGTCAAAAAGTGTCTATAGTGGTGAACTATGGTTTAGGTTTTTTTAAATAAAGTTTCAAAAATGTCTATGTATGTGGAAAATGTAGTTGATTACCAAAGGTTACAATTTTTATTTTGAAGACTGTATGGTCTAGGAAGTGTACATTTTTTTATGGGGCAATTTTCCAAGGGCGGGTTTTCTAGGGGCAAGTTGACTGCCAATGAGTATTGCCAAAGTGCGAGCCAGCGTGTTATTTGATCACAAGTGCGAGACATCACAATTGTGAGCCAGCGAGCCATGACGTCACGACAATAGATACGAGACGTTAAGGAGTTGTGCGAGGTATCGGCTGAGATTTGTGGAGTACAATTCAAAAAACAACTAGGTCTAATAATGAATTATTGTGATGTTAAATAGACAATGTTAGCTATCAAGGAGCAACAATGTTTTTCATTGGGACCTTCGTCCCTTCAAGGCTATGCCTCTACCATCCTAGCTAGTATAGGCCTAGAGTAGGATAAGGCTAGCGCGACATGCGGACGTTGGTACGTGTAGGTTAGTCTACAAACGTTGCCTAAAGTAATTGATCTTACCCGGCAGAACGAAAGAAGGAAACTCCGTTTTTCAGTCGTCTTACTGTAGGCCCTTGTTTTTTGACAAGCAATGACCTTTCAGAGGTCAAAGTGCTGTCAAGAATATGAATTGGCTGCTTCGCAGCAAATAGATTGACTACTGTTGAAAGAGATAGACATCACTTTCTGGGATCTGGATTAATTTTACTACAAAAAAAAAAAGGATATCTGCATCATATCAGAGTTATCACTTTATACAAACTTTCTCAAAATTCATCCTTCCTGATGTCACAAAATGAGTGGATACTTCATTATACTTTACTTGCAATTAACTATTATGCATATGTTACAGCATGAGTACTGTACGTGCAGCAGTTTGTATGTTAATGAGTTACTGGCACGAGACATGAAATTGGTTACCGTATTTATGCGCTACACTGATACAGTCTGTTTTCATAAATTTGCAAATATTTGCTTAGGAGTATTCAGTACATTTGTTTTGTGGTCAAATAACCTTCACATATCGTGTGTTTGTTTTGAAACCTTTAATGATAGACAGTTATAAACACATTATGATCATGAAGGTATACCTCCATGTTCTGATGCAGTTTATTAGGCCAAATAAAATCTATTGTTTGTTCATGTCCGGGATTTGAAATCATTTATTGGTAAGGGTATTTACAATTTGCTATTTATTATCCTATATACTACTGTAGTGGTAAACAGTAAAATTAAAGAAGTAGTAAAATGAATCTTTGGAATGTATTCTGCCATTTAGGTTTCCACCTCTTCAGGCTTTGACAACAATCTCTCAGATTGTCATTTTTATTTTTTTCATGAAAAGGATTATTTTTTTTAAAATAGAAAATAGTAAATTTGTTCATGAAGCTCAAAAATTTGATGAGGGTAGGGATGTGAAACTGGCAATTATTTTGATTTTGCCTTATGAGTACACAACATCAGTATCACCATGTTGTTATTGGAATGCTTGCTACAGGAGCCATTGTTGCCATTCTCTCTAAATTTGTGTTTATGACGTCAAAGCAAGCTCTTCACAGTTTGTGAATCACGGTAAAGAACACGCTGACCTAAAAAAAGTCTATGTCCTGTGTTGACAATGTTTCAACCAAACGGGCCATTTTAGACTCCAACAGAGATGTTGATAGGGTGCGGAAATGGAGAGGCGTGTCACCGATACTCAAAATTCTTTAATGATCTTGTCAGCTAGATAACGAAAGGTAACGAACGGATGCTGAGATCAGTTCACTGCGAGATAATACATATTTTGTTGATTATGATGTTTCCATAAAGATGAATTTGTTTTTTTGAGTAACATGAGAGTTTCATTGTAAAGATAAAATGAGATAAGGATAAAGCTATGTTGCTGTATCAAACACTTCATAATCATCCATATTTTTAGAAATATGATTTAAAAGATGAGCAAATTGTAGAGTTTGAAAGACTAAAATTAAACTTTGATTTTGGCTTGTCTTTGCCACAAATATGTACAGTACATTTAATACTGTGCAACACTTAATGTAAACATCAAAAGGTGTATTATTGATTAGAATTATCTTGGAGTGTTACAATATTTATGGAATTCCCCCTTAAAGTATGTTTATGTATTTTGTGTTAATAGTTTTATGTTAAAGTGTTTAATTATTTCAATTGATGGCTTATCATCCAAATATTATCTTTGGTTCTGTTTACATATTTATCCAATTCATTTTTTTTCAGTTATTTTGTTTTAACTATTTGACTGTTTTTATCCTTAAAACTAAAGTTTTAAGTATCAAAATATTTTTGCTTGCATCAAGGTATATTGTAAATTTAATTAATTTGATTGGGTGGCAGCTTTTTATATTCACAGTATTGTTTTTTAAGTAAATAAAAAAAAGTATGATTTTTTTTACGCTAAGTTTGTGGATACAGAAAATATGATGGTTTTGTTTTACATTTTAAGTTTAGTCAAATATCTTATTATTATTTTCAACATTAAATATTATGTAAATTTTGTTTTCACTACTCTATGTTTATAGCTTTATGTAGGATTTACTGTTTTGTGGTTTTCTTTTTTTTCAAATTGTGCATGATAGGTCTTGTTCTTGTTATTTTGTGTTTCAATGGAATAAAACCAATTGGTGTAAAGATGTTTTTGATAATATTTAATGACAGAAAACTTGAAATACATTACAACCTTGAATGTTCACAGGTTTTAAATGTAAATTTAGTAATTATATAAAATTAACTTTTTGTCATTGACTTGTCGTTTCAGATCATGTAAAAGAAATTGAAGGACTGGTGGAAGATAAGGACGTGGCTTCTAAGGCGGTCACGTTTGTCGTAAATGGTACGCGAAAAGGAGTGGTACCTCTCTGTGCAGATGTGGCTTGTCTAATGCGGGTTAAGCAACGGTACGATCCAATGATTTATATTTTGCAGATTATAATATTTTGTCTTGAGCACTGAGATTCATAAAAAAAAAAATGGTGTGGTGGGTATTAAGCCAGCCTGTGTTAGCAGTATAAGTTGTTGCATTCATCAATTTCACATTTAGTAAAGCCTTGTCGTAGGCTTATTAAGTCATGTCAGTGACTGAACTGATCCAATGATTTATATTCATTTAACACAGCTGGGACTAAAATGGTATACACTATAATGCCCATTATTATTATTGTATCACATTCTTCAAAGTTTCATGCTCAGTGGCAGTGACAGTGGAGTTGGGTAGGGGGGAGGGGACTGGGACATAGGGTATGCAGCAGGAGAGGCTTAAGTATCCTATTAAACATGGCTCATTTGATCTTACTATTCCTATAAAATATTTTCAGACCCCCCCACCCCCGCTATCAATCAGCTTAGGCCCCTGCTTGGCAAGTACTTATGTTGGCACTGTTCATATTCTCATCAAACTTGTTATACAAACAAGAAATTATATAATAATAATAATAATATTTATATTACATATAATAAATGTTCTTTCATATATTATTTTTATTTTATATAAATAAGTAAGTAAGTATAATGATGAAAATATATTGGTTTGAGGCATTTCTTTGTTGCTTGTTGTGACTGGTAAAACGTTCTGGGTGGTTTTTGTTGGCATTGCAAAACAATTTGAATTGGACGGCACCAACCAAGTTTAATTGAGTTTGGCATCATACAATTATGTACTTGTTTGCTGTTGCAAAGTAATTACTGCAATAGTATAGAGGTTTATTAAGTACTGTAGGACTGGATAAGAACACCTTAAATCAAATACAATGTATCCATATTGTAAACAAATACACTGTAATTGTATTTTTCTCATTATTTTGTCAGCAACATCAATCTAAATAGTTTCATGAAGATACGTGATACAAGATAATTTGATTTATTAATTATTTTATAACAAAGGTACACATTGTTTACTAGTTGCTTTTTATACTACTGTATAATTGCATTAAAAAACAAAGTTTAATAATCATTACTATTAAAACATGGTACTTCATACAAATAATTGTTGTACTTTAGTTTCTCTGGTATAAGCCCACCTTGATCATTAAATTTTAGAAATAACGAGCAACAGATTGTAAAATACAGCCAGGCCTTACACATTGAGACTAGAATATTTATAAGCCTTTAAAGTTACTGATGGGTTTAGCTGAGTGGCCCTTGAAATTATCTCTGAAAGTTTACTGTATACATTGGGAGGGGCTTATATAAGGAAAAGTATAATATTGTTATTTTTATTTATTTTTTTTTTGAAAATCTGCTTTTAAATTCATAAGATTGTTGTTTAGTAGTTTTATTTATTTTTGTTTATCATTTTGTACTATGCATTTTATAATTCTTGCACAATATAAATTTATACCTTGAATATTACTATAAAAATACACAAGTTAACGATTTAAGGTTAGTATTGCTGAATATTTTTAATATTAGATCCAATCATATTTTTAAAAATGTAAATAAATACAGCATAGAAAATATAGTGAACAAATAATACCTCTACTTCCAAGTGTTTGTCTTTCATTAATATTTTTGAGTGCCACTTTGTTCATATAAAGTCGGTCCAAGCTATTAATTTTTTTTTGACAAAAACATGTGACATGTCTAAATATGGTCATTATGACATCACATCATGACCATATACAGGCTCATCATGAATATATATGGGCATACTGTACAACATTTTTTAATCAAACAAAATTTGATAGTGTGCTTAGACAATATTGGCCAAACAGCTGCACTCCAAAACTACATGAAGACTATCCAAGTAGTAATTATGCCAGTTTTTTGGGGAGACTTTTTTATATCTTGTTTTGCGAACTTATTTGTTTAAAGACCGTGAGAGGAGGGCGGAAAAAAATTAAAAATTAAATTTAGTTTTATTAATATAGCAAATGGTTTTGCCAAAAACATCCAGAAAATAAAATTTTATTATGGGGTGGTTAAATGCTTTACATTTATGTAATTAGGAAGAAATATACATTATCTGGTGTTATCAGTATCAGTCAGGTAAGGTTATAATAAAACCTTTAATTTTTTGTGAAATTTCCATTTTTTCGTGTTCAAATTGGCCAAAAATAAAATTTTATTTTTATTCGAAATAATATTTGTGAGAAACATGTTTGCGAAACAGTGTTTTAAAATGAGACTATCGCCTTGCTAATTCTAATTGATGATGTTTGCTAATTCTAATTGATAATTTTATAAGAATGAAAATAGTGATTCTTTTCCAACATCAATGTTTTACATTTCCACTTCCAGATTAGAGCAGACAGTTGAGAAGCAGAGACGCGAAATTGAGCATCTGCGAAGTTTACACAACTCAAGGGCCAGCATTAGAACGAGTAGATCCACCAGTCCAACACCGCCCTCTGTTGAATCTGATGAGACAAACTTACAGAAAATCACATCAGTAAGTATTGTTTTTATATCCTAATAATTTTGGCAGTGTGTTATATTTTATACAGTAATATTCTTAAAAATCGTATCCTCCCTATACCATCTATTATTACCAGTACGAAAAAGATATGCAGACCAACCCAACCAAACTTCCTGTATGAAATTCCAACACTGTTATGGATGATCTGACTGCTATTTCTTGTCATCAAGAGTTTTCATGCATAATGTGGGTAATATTCCCCACCATGACTCAGGTAACGAGACTATCTGTAGGGGATTTTAGATAGGCTTGGCAGGTCTGAGCATGTTATTTTGTAGGGTAATCTTGCAGAATAACATTTTTTTTTTGTCAGGCTTGTGCATTGTTTTTTACTTTGTAAAACGAACTGTTCAAAACACTTTGCTGTCCCATGAAGAAACAACGTACCCTATTGTCTCTAATAAACGCCCCGGGGGCGTTGCGTTTTTTCAAAGGGGGGCATTTATTAGAGGTGAATTGTAAAATCAAAAATTACCTAAACAAGCTGCTTTAAACGGTCAATAAGTTCTTTATTTGTAGAGGAACAAGTTAATGTGCAGGGTATCTCCAGACCTCCTGCTATTTTGCTGTTCCTTCGTTTGTTGCTGGTTATTTGAACATCAATATTCCCTTGTGTTTCAAAAAGAAATGAAATATCTTCGAGTTCTCTTGGGGTAAATGTCCGACGATGCAGCGCGGTGCTTCTCCTTTCACAACAGCAATCGCGTGCTTGTCAAAAACATTGTTGGCCTCATGACCTGTTGATAGAATCTCTCCGATTTTTGGAATCCAGGTTTCTTGGTACACATGGAATCCTCTAACAGCACTCTCAATTTTATATGTATACTGGTATATTTCTGTAGCAGAACTTGAAGATGAAACGGCCATGTTTAGACAAACATTTTTTTACGCCCTCAACTTGGAAAAAACATTCTCACTACGGTATGGACTTCATTGACCAGACACCTTGAATCAAATCAGCGTCGAAAACGCGACACATTAACAATACACGATTACCCGTCGTTTGCCGTCAGTTTGCAGCTTACCCTGTTTTTACAAGGCTAACGAAATACCATGAGAGAAACACAAAATAGGCCTAGGCCTAGTGATCGTGAAGAAAGTAAATATCAGACGTGTAAGCTTTTTTGAGTAGTATTTATTTCATTTCATATCAAAGAAAGCAGCACATAGCATTACTCCTTGTTTGTCAACCTTTTTATGGAATGGATACCCATGTTAATTGATTGTGCATTTATTGCAAAATGAAAAAAACTCAGAGGGGGCATTTATTAGAAGGGGGGATTTATTAGAGACAATACGGTAATTGCTTTTATATTTTTGGTAAGGGAGCCTCGCAAAATAAAGCAACGCGTATACCCATCTACAACGCGTGGTTGGGGATTATAATCTCTTCGCGTTGCCGACGAGTGGTTCAAGATACTGATAAAAAATGTTGGACGATTCCATTTTGCAAATTAGGGTTCGTTTTCTGACGTTTTTGTTTTACTTGTTTGCGTCGGTTTATCTCGTGATTTTGATGTACAGTACTGTAATTTATGTCAAGTCTCTTTTCTATGTTTTGTCATAAGTTTCATTCATTATTATGAATTAATTTTAATACTATATCCTGTCATTTCTGTAAAATTAAAACCGAAATGTCGAATACCAAGACTCGAAACCCACTGAAATTTCCTATACACTTTTATACTGTATTATAATCAGGCCAAACTCATGTTTTTGCCATGAATATTGACGGGATAAACGCAATTTAATGCCAGTATATTGCTTTTTCTAGAACTATTCATAGGAACATTCCCATGCTCTGCTGCTATGGAAATACAGACTGAATCAAAGTGTACAGTATGTTTCATTGATCTTGCTGCCGGCCACGTTATGCATAGCTCAAACCCTTTGTACGCCGCCCAGTGTTATAACCAGGCCAAACTCATGTTGTTGCCATGAGCATGGAGGAATAAATTCCTAGTGACAGGATAAACGCAATTTAATGCCAGTACCTGCTTCTTCTAGAACTATTTATAGGAACAGTCCCACGGGTTCTGCTGCTATGGAAATTGACTATTAAGGGTCATTGATCTTGCTGCGGGCCGAGTTATGCATAGCCGTACCTTTGTACGGCGCCCAGTGATAACGACTCAACGTTACCATGGAAAAGCATAGAACAAACTAAGAAAATATCAGTCTCTGAATTTTTGTGTGCAATTAAATCTTGTATTTATTATTTTCTTTAAGTCTCATTTTCAATTATATTTTATATTTGTTATATATATTTGAAAATCGATTTGGTACGATACAAATAAATTAATTACAATAAAGACAACAAGGAAGTGACAAACAGAAATTAAAAATCAAACAAGAACAGCTCATTCAGTAGAACATAAATTAAAGTTAATATAGCGTAAACAGGTTATTACATGAACATAGGCCTAATTAGTGATCAAGATCTACTGTGTGTGTGTACAACAGTCGCTTGTATATGTTGAGTATTTATTGGCGGTCACTGTACTTTATTATGAATAGGACTACAAATAGTAGGCCTATTGTACACTTATTTTTGATATAGGCCTACCATAATATATTTTAAAGGCAAGGTTATTCCCAACTATTGTATCGGAACAAATTATAGACAATAAATCAATGGATAGAAAAAGCAATTTAAAGAATGAAATAATGATAATACGTTAAGAGATCGTAATTCAGTAAATATCCCATAGCCCATTGAGTACAGGACCAGAGTCAAGCGTCTAACTTTTACTTTGATAGAACATAGAGTATGTCAAAACCACAGGCCCTAAACTTCCAGCCGGCGATGCAGTACACTTTCAACAATTGAAAACTACTTTTATACGTTACCAGTACGTTTTATAAATAAAATTAAAATCCCTGTAGTAAAATAACATAGTCATTTGGTACATTCAAACATTTAAAAACGATTTAATGATTATACATTTTAAATTTAATTATTTTGAAAAATTATTATAAAATTAATAACCATATGGAATGGTAGAGTCCATGGTTAATCAACGAAGCAACAAAACATGTGCTTCGCTGTTTGAAAAGGGGTGAAAGCAATACGTTGAACAGCAATCTAGAGAAAACACGGATAAAACAATATTTTACAGTATACAATACAATACCTTTTTTAAAGAGCCTGATAATCATATATAATAAATATATTCTTTTACCCTAAACTTTGAGATTAATCTACATTGAAATAGAATAGAGCCTAGGTTTTTGCCGCATCAAAACATTTGTTTCATCAGTAGAAAGGGGTGATAGCAGTGCATGTAACTGCTAGCTGGAGAAAATTGTTTTTGCTTTTTTTGAAAAGTTTCTCGTCACATACAATGGATATACTGTTCCACCAAAGTTCAAGATTAATCAATAGATAACATATAGGCCTAGGACAACTGCTCACATTTATATCAGATAAAGGTACTAATATGAAGTTCAATATTTTTTTTTTGTACCCTATCTACGTTCATGATCGAATGTAGGCCTACTGTAGACAGATATCTGTCTATCGTCCTAGACAGTTTTATTTAATAATCTTAATACTAAAACGATATAAGAAATGATAATTTTAAAGACTAACTGTAAAAAAGATATAATTAGGCCTAACAAAAATTCATAAAAATTGCCTGTTTTCGATTTTTAATTTTACTCTGTAATTTTTCTGAGTAAGCCAAAGCCTAGGCCTATCCATGGAGGTATAATATCTATGTCCTAGGCCTCTCCTAGTTTTATATCTCTGCTGTCTGTTGGTTTTGATCGTAACGGTGACGATAATCTCGATAAATTATTAATGTAATTCTCAGAAATATAACGTGAACCTGCGTTACTTCCAATAGGGTTTATATTTATCTATCCATGGAGGTATAATATCTATGTCCTAGGCCTCTCCTAGTTTTATATTTCTGCTGTCTGTTGGTTTTGATCGTAACGGTGACAATAATCTCGATAAATTATTAATGTAATTCTCAGAAATGTAACGTGAGCTTGCGTTACTTCCAATAGGGTTTATTTTTATACAAGACGTTTTTGTTTGTGTTAATTGGGTTTTTACACTAAGTCTGTTATCAATTCCCCACTACGAAGTGGAATAGCCCAGGAAAATAATCCCAACACGTGGCCAACTATGGGAGTAAACCGCCTTTAATCGCATCGCGTGGTCCACTTGTATACACGTTGCTTTATTTTGCGAGGCTCCCTATTACGTTGTTTTGCTTGGAACGGCCATTGGAGGAAAAATTTGTTTAATATGTCGTAGAATTGACTTTTCTGACAGAGCAAAAAATTTGGGAACGGGAATGGTTTATGAGATACAGATTTTTGAATAAAAACTTAAGGTGAAACAAACACAACCAACCTTTTTTTTACCTTTTCCCCAGTTTTTAAATATTCAAAAATTTGTATGTTCCCAAGTTTTTCATCGAATACCCTTTTTATGTCAATAGAAAAAAATCAGTTGCATAACATACAATTTTTTCCCTCTGAAGCATGGATTTAAATCTAGGATTTTACCATTCAATTTAAATGGGTACCCTAGATAGTTACCTACAGTTGAGGTCATGACTTATTATCATTCGTCTGATGTTCCTTATGATGGATTGTTTCTCTTATTGCATTCCAAGCCAATCTATCATAATTATAAACTGAATCCACCCACTCAAAAGTCTACTTTCCTTTTTAGAAAAAAAAAAACCCCTAAAAATGTACTACAGAGACTTTAACTATTGTCTAGGAAAATGTATGAAAATTGAGAAAATGCCTCAAGAGAAATAGCAATTTTGTATATTTTAAACAAGTCTATTAATATGTAGACCCTATGTTAACAACCAGGAGACCGAAAATGAATTAGTCATCGTCCCAATTCACAAAGGATGTTGGATTTGTACATTTCTTTAAGATGATTTATTAGTAGGCGAACAGCTGTTTTTATGTTGCTGAACTTTACAACTGATTTCGTAATACCA